TTATAAAGTTAAAATATTAAATTCGCTTATTGATTTACGCGATATGCTTAATATAATTCATATAATTATATATATGACACATGTATATATGTATATATAATTATAAATATAGTAATATTTACAGTAAATGTATTTATTTATATATATATATTTTACGCACAAATAAATGCTTTAATGTGATTTCGTCTGCATACGTATTTAATAAAGTATATATACATATATGGTTTTACCTATATATCTGTATATCTACTTGTATATGTCTATGGACACCGAAAAAGAAAAATATTAAAAAAGGAGAGTAAGATAGACAAATCTTTTGAGTCAACCTTAGATAAGTATTGTTATGGTATGTTTTCCGTTAGTTGATGTTGCTATGACTTTTTTGTTGTCTTCCATGAAGTGTGTACACATTTCTTTCTTTCTTTCTTTCTTTTTTTCTTTCTTTCTTTCTTTCTTTCTTTCTTACTTTTTCCTTTTTTTTTTTCTTCTTTTTTTATGTTTTCCTCTCCTGTAAATATTTCTTGCTTGAAGTTGTTTTTTGCTTTCTCCACAGACTTGATCTTTATCCCGTCTGCCTGCCCGACTGTTAGTCCATAGGTAGATATCTATTTAAACATACACAATTCTGTGTATATTTTAATATAATCTATAATATATATATATATATATATATGTTTTCTTTCTTGATTTTTTTTTGTTTGGATTGTTTTGGTTGTTGCTTGTATTTGATTTCAAAAACTTTTGATAATAAATAAGTTCCTATATATGTTATAGAAAAGTAATTCTTTTTTAACTTTCTTTCTTTCTTTCTTTCTTTCGTTCTTTCTTTCTTGTTATATATAAATACGATCTTGAAATCCCAGGCGTTTCCTTCTGGCAATAGGCAGTTGAAAACCGGTGTTGCTATGTTCAGTCGTCTTGTAATTCATGTTTCGTGGTAAAACTCCATTCCATCTACCCCTTGATAGATGGTATCAACAACTGAACCTTTCCTTTCCTTTTTTTTTTTTTTTTTTTTTTTTTTTTTGCTTTTTCTTTCGGGGAAACTAATCCCGTATGAGATCACTCTTTAAAAAAAAAAAGAAAGAAAAAAAAAGAATAAGCAGGCTAGTTATACACTAAACGGGACGTCGGTTGTTACCGAGGCAAAAATCTTAGCCGATAAAAATGGTCACTTATTGTAATATTACGACTGGGATTGTCCAATGGTTGAGACGGTCAGCAAAGAGGTTGATTGAATCAAAGAAACCAGACGACAAATTTAAAAAAAAAAACAACAACAAAAAAAAAAAAAAAAAAAAACCTGGTTCGTTTAGAGAATATATATATATATATATATTATTATTATTATTATTCCAACATGTTATTTGTTATTTTTGGTTGTAAATTTTCTGTAGAGAAATAATTCGTTGTCAAATAATGTCGAACTTGATCGTTGATATGACGATGACAACTGACAAGAATACAATTTAATTTCGGCAGTTGTTTGGCCTTGTGTTAGTTTTAGCCAATACTTAATAAATAAAGAATAGATAAAAATAGTTATTAGGGGAGAATAACTTAAAAATTTAAATAAAAGAAAAGGTTTTTACTTTTTTCATCGATCGTTAGATTGGATTTTTAAAAATAGGAAATCTTAACTGTGAGTGCGCACACGCACACACACACATAAATATATGTATATATATGTGTGTGTGTGTAACTTATTATATTCTTTCAAGGTAGACGCAAAATATTTTGTCTCTTCATGCGTGTTTTTATATACATATATACACATATATATGTATATATATATATATATATATATATAATTTAACCAATTTTATTTTCTAATAAACGACATTTAAACGCAAATAAAAAAGGTAGTTTCTCTGTTTCTTACCTACCCATGTCCTTCTTCCACAGATCTTTAAAAAAATATATATATATATATATATATATATATATATATATATATATATATATATATATATATATATATATATATATAGATAGATATATAAATAGGTAGGTTGAGTTTTAATTCCAGAAACCTTTCAGCCGTGTTGCTGTGGAGATACACATAAAAGTTTTTTTTTTTTTTTTTTAAATTAACACTTATTTTATGTTTTAGTGATATTATGTGTAAACTTTCATCTAACTATGAGTATATATAAACATCAACAAAACGTGTGTGTATTTAAGGCAGATTCGTGTGTTACGCAATATTGTAAGTGAAAATATGTAATCTAGCTATTGGGTGTGTACGTGTCTTGAATTAAATTAAATGTTGACGTGAGTAGACATTATTGAATATAAATAAATGTTACTGGATTTTGAGTGTGGGATTTCTCGATTGGTTTTCTTGTTTTTGCCGTTGTTGTTAACTTTTTTTGTTCTGTGATTGTAAAAGATATGTCAAGATATTACTGTTATTAGGAACATAAAACAATGTCACAAATCGTGATAGGTTTGGTTTTGGTTTGTGACAAGTCCATCTGTGTCCAACTATTGCAAGATGGCCAAACGGTAGTCTAGTAAGAGATTGAATAATTCGTCTCTTAATGAAGTTCCTTTCCTTTTCTTTTCCTTCTTCTTCTTCTTTTTCTTCTTCTTTGTTTATATAAATTGTTGCTGATGCTAGACTTTTAGTAATGAGAGAAAGACAGATGAAGTTGGAGGTTCCTATATTCAAGTTTATACTCTTTCTTTCTTTCTTTCTTTCTTTCTTTTTCTTTCTTTCTTTCTTTCTTTCTTTCTTTTTCTTTCTTTCTTTCTCTTTCTTTGGTTCTTTTTTCTTTCTTTCTTTTTTGCCTATCTCGCTCGGGGAAAGAAAAAAATGACTTTAGTTGACAGTTATACACGTAGGTAAATATTAACTATCACTTTTTTTTCCACTTTAGATATTCGTCAGTTATTCTATGAGTTTCCTTTCACTTTCTGTCTGTCTCTTGAACAAAAAAATGTATATTGTAAATATATACATATATATATATATATATATATATATATATATATATATATATATATGTGTGTGTGTGTGTGTGCGAATATATAATGTATATATATATATATATATTTGTATATATCTAAATATATATATATATATATATATATATATCGGTGTGTGTGTATGTGTCTGTGTGTATGTACTTGAGGGTATTATATATATATTTAGTGTAGATATTTTCTTGGATTGTTTTGCAGGGGTTTTCTCCGACTTTTTTTTTTCTTTAAATATTAAAAACCGTTTGTTTAACTGATATTTTTCTTTTTGCAGCCAACGCAATATGCATTAGCAGTATTAATAAAATGCGAGAAGAATGAAGCAGTGGTAGTAGTTGTAGTAGACGAAACGAAGGTAGTAGCAGCAGCCGCCTGAGTTTTCTCGTAATCGACGAAGGGAAAATTTAACTGATTATATACCGATAGATGTTGCAGTCGTCGAGACTATTAAGTACTACCAATAAGCCATAATAGTAGTAGTGGTTACAACCTTAGTATAGTGATAGTAGTAGTAACAGCTGCTGTAGTAGTAGTAGTAGTAGTATATTACCGTTGTCGTTTCTTTCTGGTGCAGTTTCCTGACGAGCTGCCTTAGTCATTTTTGGGCTTTAAGTTACTATTTAGCAGTAAATTCAAAGCTGCGCCAGACTATACATAAAGAGAGCAAGCAAGCAAGAAAGAGGAGAGTAAGACGGCCTATAGAGAAGAAGGAAAAAAGAAGAAGAAGAAAAAGAAGAAGAAGAAGAAGAAGAAGATAATAAAAAAAGAGAAGGAAGTTAGAAGAATAAAAAGGTGGAGGAGGCGAGAGAGAAATAAAAAAAAAACACAAGGTGAAGAGAGAAAGAAGAATAAGAGGAGGAACAGATGACGAATAAAGAAAAAAAGGAGTAGGAGGAGGAAGAGGAGGAGGAAGAGGCTGAGGAGGGGGAGATCAGAAAGCACGTAGAGAGTGCGTAGAGAGAGAAAAAAAAGAGAAGTAGAAGAAGTTTGGGGGAGAAAGAAGGGGGCGTCTAAAAGGGAAATTTAGCTTCGTTATTGGATTGGCATATTCTGTGACAGTCAGTTCCCGCCTATTTTTCTCTCTCTCTCTCGCTCTCTCACCTCCAATGGTGGACGAGAAACAAGCAAATGAACAGACGAACAAACGCAGATTATAGGAATGAGCGTATAGGCGACAGATCAACAAACCAAACATACGGGTATCTATCTATCTATCTATCTATCTATCTATCTATCTATATATATATATATATATATATATATATGTGTGTGTGTGTGTGTATGTGTCTGTGTGTGTGTGTGTGTGTGTATTTAGGCAGCAATCCTTTATTTATGCATGTTTCATTAAAAACAATAGACAAGGTACTACGATTAAGCTTTTTATTTAATTTTTCTTGTGTTCGAACAAGTGTTGTTTTTTTTGGGTTTTTTTTGCACCCAGAGTGTGTAGAAACTTTCCAAATGTTCTATAATTCCGAGCGCTTTCGGCTATACATTTAACCATTATCAAGGATGATTTTATTTTTTCAATTTAATTGGGTGTGTGTTTGTCTGTATGTTTTTAGTATTATAAATGTTTATTTTCGAACACATTACTAATACTGTGGCTGTGTTCGTAGTAGCTTGTCTGTCGTTTTAATGAAAATGCATATATATATATATATATATATATATATATATATATATATATATATATATGGAATTCGCCAGTCTTATTCATTATATAAAAAAATTCCTCAATTTTATTCAACCCAATATAGACTGAGTTCGTTTTTAAATTATTTAACTAAACACACACACACACACACACACACACACATGCACACGCATGCACACACACACACACACACAGAGTCGAACTCAGTCTATATCAAGGGGTGAATAAAACTGACGAATTTCGTCGGTTCAAAATAAATATTCCTTATATGAGGGGATTGGATTTTTATTGTGTACTATATATATATATATATATATATATATATATATATATATATATATATATATATCACCCATTTATATCTATCGCAGTTTGTTCATTTATCTATATAATGTATCTTTATATATATATATATATATATATATATATATATATATATATATATATATTTATATTGAACAATGAAAAAATATTAAAAATATAAATCTTCAGAAACACTGGGTTGATATTAATATTTTGGGGTTTTTATTATTTCAGTTAGATTCCTCGACCAGTTTCAGCCAACATGGCCATCATCAGGAGAAAAATTCTGCTTGTTAGTAGCAGTGAACTACCTTCTATATATATATATATATATATATATATATATATATATATATATATATAGAGAGAGAGAGAGAGAGAGAGAGAGAGAAATAATGAGACAATAAACATTGCTTTAAAAAAACGGGTGTTTACTGGAATATTGGTATCCACTAAAAATTAAAAAATAACGCTTGAAGTAGTGTATAGTCAGATAGTGATAAGTCATTTGCCAAATTGCGAATAAAGAATGTAGAATGAAAATAACTTTAAAAACAAACAAAAACGAGATTTGCTGAACGAGATTTCACGACTGAGATTTGAATAGCGTCCTAGATATGTATAGCTGGCCATTCGTATTCGACGATAACCGTTTACTCAGGGCGGTTAGCCAATCCCTATTGCAGACGCTTGCTCAGGCGCATTTGTGTTTATTCAACACCCATGGAGCCCACCTCTGGTTTGTACTGCATCTATGCTGAGCAGACCTTAATTAGAGTTTCTGGGAAAGAGCGTTTTATCTAGCGTGATCAACAATTTGTAGAAGGCCATCACGCTCAAACCCTCTGTCACGATGACTTGTGACTTCGTGCTAGCACAGCTATCGACAGGACCCAAGTGTTCCGTCTACCCAATTTCACTCACAAGTCTTGGGCAAAAAACTTGCCAAAGGTAGACAACTCTTTCCTGACAGGGTGAGATTCGAACCTGGGTCTTATGGTCAAGATACCAACGTTCTAACCACTCGGCCACGTCATAGATAAGCGGATGCAGAAAAGTGAGATATAATTTCAAATAAACAAATGAAAAGTGAAGCTGAAGCAATGAAAAGTGATTAAAGAGAAAAATAGCAGAGAAGATGAAAGAAAAAGATAGCTACAACAGTGATAAAGAGAGGGAGAGTGAGAGAAATAGAGAGAGAAGGAGAAGACAGAGAGTGAGAGAGAACGTGAAAGAGAGAGAAAGTGGTGAGAATAAACTGCAGGAAAAGAAGGAAGGAATACAAATAATAAAAGGAAAGAAGAAAAGCTAAAAATAGAAAGACAGAAATAGACAGTGGGGGAAAGAGAGAGAGTGAGAGAGGGTAAGAAAGAGAGAAAACCAAGAAAAAAGAGGAAAAAAGGTGAAAAGGTTGACGAAGGAGAAAGATAGAAACGAAGAGAGAGAAAGAGAGAGAGAGAGAGAAAGAGAAGGAGAAGGTATTTAGAAATGGAGGGGAGAAGAAATACTAATAAAGAAAAGAAGATGAAAATGAAAATGAAAGATAGGGACCACAACAGAAAGAAAAAGAGAGAGAGAGAGGGCGAAAGAGAGAAGAGAGATAAAATCTGCAAAAGAGGGAGGGAGTAATAAAAAGAAAACGGAGGGAAAAGAAGTGCTTAATAATTAATTAATTAATTAATAATCATACATAGTAAAACTAAATGAAATATTAAGTAACAGGTTAAACTGCTGTGATTTTCGAAATTAAATGATAAAGAATTGACGAGAATTGACGAGAATTGACGAGAATTGGCGAAAAGAACGAATAAAAGAGAAGAAATGATTGTAAAGTAGATTGACTTATTCTACAAGAAGAAAACTATAGTGTTGAGAAAAAACTAAGGTAGGCCACAAAAATGTAAAATAAAAGCCATAAACGATGATAGATAAGGAAAAATTATGGCAGAAATATAGTAAAAGCCATAAAATGAAAACACTAAATAAACAGACAAATAAATGAAATTTGTAAACAATCTAAATACATTCACCATTTTCTGTTTTTCTCAAACCTGTTTCCTTATTGTCCTTCCTCCTCACTTAAATTTCTCTTTCATTTTCTTCCATTCTCGGCGAATTCGTTGCGTCTTAGTGGCATTATCGCCTTGTTTGGGGTGAAATAGAAACAAAAACAACGAAAAACGACAAAAACCATAAAAAGGATTGACAGAAAATGTACTATGCTCTTGTCAACTCTGGCGCAAGAAAGGTTACCTAATTATGAACTGTTCACATTGACCATTGCTTAATTTTGGTGAACCTATTGAAAACAGAGACCACAGCGCTTGATTTGGTCGCATACTAATATATATATATATATATATATATATATATATATATATATATATATAGATATACATATATATATATATATATATATATATATACATAAATATATATTACTTAACATATATATATATATATATATATATATATATATATATATATATACATTACTTAATCTTAAATGGCAAATTTTGTCGTTTTCCTCACTTCGACGTTTCTTGGTAATCCATTTTTCAATGGGTTCTGCTATTCTATATATAAAAAAAATAAAGGCCTTATATAAATATATATATATATATATATGTGTGTGTGCGTGTGTATGTGTGTGTGTGTGTGTGTGGGTATATATATATATATATATGTGTGTGTGTGTGTGTGTGTGTGTGTGTGTAATGTGTGTGTGTGTGTGACAAAGAGATGTTAATGCAGACAAAGGAAGCACGAAGTCCTAGTTTTTAGTGCCTGATGATCCACAGATGAAACCGCACATTTTTATTAATTTTATTTTAAAAAAAAGGTTCAAATTGCATTGTATTTTCTATTTTGAAAGTGTATTGAGCTCTTTTTAAAAATCGTATGTTTTTCTCAAAACACTAAACTTGTGAAAGGCCGTTCCTTTTTTTTGTTTTTTATTTTGTTTCAGATTCACACACACACACACATACATATATATATATATATATATGAAGTGACAGAGAGAAGGAAGGAGAAAAAGTCAGTACTTTCTGTTAGCCAACGTCGTTCTGTTCAGATATGTTTGCGCTTCTAACACTTGTACGTCGTTTTCAGAAGTTATACGCCCAGACTATTGTTTTTTTCTTGGCATTATATCAGTGTTATTAGTTGTTGTTTCCAAATTTGTGACACGGTCTGGTAACACAATGTGCTTACACACACACACATATACATACACACACACATATATACACACACACACATATACATATATAATTTAATTTAAATAAAAACAGACCACTTTATGGGACTATTTGTAATAATTTATTTCACCACAGAATTTTATTTTCTCTGGATCTTCAGACTTCACTTTCAAAAAAGGTGAAACGAAAAAATAAATATATATATATATATATATATATATATATATATATATATATATATATATATATAAATATAAATATATATAAAGAAAAACAGACCACTTTAAAATTATTATGATAATTTATTTCACCAGAGCCTTTTTAAAGGACGCCGGATCATCAAATAGCACTTCCCCCGCAAAAAAAACTTTTGTTTTTGGAACTGCTATCTGATGATCCGGCGTCCTTTAAAAGGGGTCTGGTGAAATAAATTATTATAATGGAACCTTAAATTGGTCTGTTTTTCTTTAAAATATTAGCTCTGGATTTACATTGAGCTCTCAGGATTTCATCCTCCTTAGGATTACCCATCCGGATTACCAAATTCTTCATAACTTATATATAAATTCGTAGTTTTTAGCTTCCATTTTTGAAACATGGTTAGAACTATGTAGCAAAAAAAAAACATATTTTAAATAAATCAATTTATAATATTAATGCTCTGTAAATTTACATTGAGCACTATTTTGTAAAAATAAAAATATCTATAAGAACACCGGATTATGTGTCTTACTGTTCCTTCTTTTTTACATACATACATACATATATATATATTTATATATATATATATATATATATATATATATATATATATATATATATATATGCACGGGGTGATAGAAAAGTAACTCCTTATTTTGTGTATGAGTAACCAGCCATGAGTCCTGATTTAACACCCTGTGAGTTTTGTCTTTGAGATTGGTTAAAGGGCATGTCTACTATAACAGACCGAAACTTTGGAAGCATTTGAAGGGCGAATACAAGACGTTATGTCTTCCATACCACAAGAGTTCCTGTTGAAATCAGTTGACGGGATTCCTGGACGGCTCCAGAAGTTGGTAGCGAAATCTGGTGCCCATATCGAATTTTAAATAAAACTCCATGCTAAACGCTTTCCTCTCATATCCATTTCTTGTAAAAATATTCTTAATTAATAAATCGTAAGTATTTTAAAATTGGCAGTTAATTTTCAATCACCATATATATATATATATATATATATATATATATATATATATATATATATATATATATATTTTCTTAAACGCTATTTTAGTGGATACTCGTATTTGATTAGACGCAACGTTTATTTATTAAATATTATATTTATTTATTTTCGTCAAGAGCTGTGAAATCTTGCATACATTAATTCCAACTGTTCTTATTATTAACAGCATTGTTTTTTTCCAGGTACGAGGGTTGGCTGAAACGTTTATAGGCTGATTATGAAGGAGTGTCACCAGAGCTGTGAAAACGAGGTTAGGCTGAAAAGTTCATAGGCTGACTAGGAAGGATATAATAGTATTCGAAACAAAAGGGGAGATGATGAGCAATATAAACGACGCGTTGCGCAGAAAGACAAAACTGGGTGTAAAGGGAAATGCGTTGGGGTTTTTGATAATAAGATAGGTAATAATTAAAATGACCTTTTTCTATGGGACTTGACCACGGCATAAACCAAGGAAACCTTTGAAATACTGTTTAAAACTCTTGTAAAACAATATTTCAGCCTGCAGCCTATTTGCAGCCTGCCAAATACAAGACCTTGAATGGGGATCTGCTGTTTGTGTTCGAATTAAGAAGAGGCTTACAATTCACGTAGTCACTAAGATCTTCCACGATCATTCAAAGAGTTGGGCAAATGTCAAGCGTGTCGCTAGGAATTTGGAAATCATTGATCAGTGATCCCTCGATAAATACGTGATGAATGTGGTAGAGAATGTCTCTCCAATGCAGTCCTCGTTAGCCACAAGAAGATTCATTTTGGTCGACGTTTGTACTCTGGTGGAAATAATTAAATATGGAGGGTATGTTAGGAAGCCCGCAGAAACTGTTCCGGTCTATATTCATATCTATCTATCTATCTATCTATCTATCTATCTATCTATCTATCTATCAACCTACCTCAGTCTGTTTATATCTATTTATTTATCTCAGTCTGTTGATATCTATCTATCTATCTATCTATCTATCTATCTATCTATCTATCTATCTATCTATCTCAGTCTGTTCATATCTATCTATCTCAGTTTGTTCATATCTATTTATTGATCTCAGTCTGTTGATATCTGTCTATCTATCTATCTATCTATCTATCTATCTATCTATCTATCTCTGTTCATTTCTATCTATCTATCTATCTATCTATCTATCTATCTATCTATCTATCTATCTCAGTCTGTTCATATCTATCTATCTCAGTCTGTTCATATCTATTTATTGATCTCAGTCTGTTGATATCTATCTATCTATCTATCTATCTATCTATCTATCTATCTATCTCTGTTCATTTCTATCTATCTATCTATCTATCTATCTATCTATCTATCTATCTATCTATCTATCTCAGTCTCTTCATATTTTTTGTGGGAATGGCGAAGTAGAAAAAGGTTTTTTTGTGATGCGATGCCTGAAGTCCTGAAGGACGAAACGCATCAGAAAGCTTTTTACCACTTTATCATATATATATATATATATATATATATATATATATATATATATATATATATATATATATTTATATATATATATATATATATATATATATATATATATATATATATATATAATATATATGAAGAATATAGTTTATATATATATATATATATATATATATATATATATATATATATATATAAAGAAACATAGTTTTAAGATGTGCGATATTTAGGGGATAAAGTGCTCAATATCAGAGATAGATTAAAATGTAAATATAAACGTGAACATTGAAGTGAACACTCAGAGGCGACAGGCTGTTTCATGCTGCACCCAATGCGACTGCGTCAAGCATGAAACAGCCTGTCGCCTCTAAGGTTGATTCAATGTTTACGTTCATATATATATATATATATATATATATATATATATAAAAAAAAAATGTTTTCCTGTGATATATATATATATATATATATATATATATATATATATATATATATATATAATTTAATAAATATTTTAAAATATAGGTCGAACTCCCCCACTAAAGCATGAAACTGGTTTAATTTTTTCCTTCTAGACGATTTGCCGCGCCTTTTGTTGTCTTCTTTTTCCTTTTCCTTTTTTTTTTCCTTTTTTACTTTTACTTTTCTCTCTTCTTCCTTCTTTAATTTTTTTTTAGCTACTATTTTATTTAATTTCTTCACTCATTGGTGTTGATAAATCCTGAATGGAAACTCTTGTAGGGTGAAATAGCTATTCAAATGGGGGTATTTTGAATTTCTGATATATGTAATTTATATATATATATATATATATATATATATATATATATATATATATATATATATATATATATAATGCAATCTAGGATCAACAACTAAATCTTTTATATATATATATATATATTGTCAGCCAGAGACAGACTGTTTCGCTGTATCACAGCTCTTCTAGCTAGGATCGAAATTGGCGTCAGTCGGAGATTCTACCCCAAGCCTTCAGCGCACGGCAGGGACGAAGGTGAATTTTTGCGTATTTATTTTAGATAAACACACAGTAACTGAGAGACTTGATTCGCTTTTGAGCGAAGAATCTTGCTATAATAGACTCAATGGTCATATATATATATATATATATATATATATATATATATATATATATATATATATATATATATGTGTGTGTGTGTGTGTGTGTGTGTGTGTGTGTGTGTGTATACGTTAAAAAAAAACTGGAAATCGTGAATTTCTTTTTCTCCTTCAGTCAAGGGATGACATCATGGCCTCATTTCAAATCACTAAAAACGTGCTTCAAAATTACAGAATATCCGTTCACAGAAATAATTTCAACGTGACACTTGAAGCGAAGTCATTATAATAATTCATTACAACGCGATGAATGTTGTGGACCACAAAAATGCCAGTAGTCATCAGAGTACTGGGAACAATCTCCCAAAGCTTGGGAAATGGCCTGAAGGAACTACCAATCGGTGAAAATGTCGGAACCATCCAGACATCTCCTTTCCAGAAAACATTAAGAATACCGAAAAAAATCTGCTGGAGCGCTGTGAATATGTATTATCACTTAATCTGCAATGTCTAGGTCAGTATTAGCGGTTCGGTGGCCGTTGCTCTTTGGAGGGGGTGAGGTTTTCCGGGGTAGAATTCCTTCCATGAAACGATTTTATTTTTGAGTGG